TATCTTCCATTTGACATGTCACTTATTTTATTGATTGGTACCAGAAAATAGTAGCCAACCCTGTATTCTGAAGCAAATTGTGGTAATATTTATTACTGTTACTGTACTCATATTCAAGGTAACATCTACTACCAAATCGCCAATTGAAATCGAAGCATAGGTAAAACGGTACATACATATTTTAAATAGATACGAATTATGTTTAAACACTGAATGTAACACCTAATTATATATGTGATCTTATTCAAATTGAAATGATCAACTCAACTGAGAAAAGCGTACAAAACCTAACATTTCCCATGAATGAAAAATCGTGGGTATTTCTTAGTTTTATCAACCCTCTAAGGAAACATTCCCAGCAATATAGTAACATAAAATATTATTTTTTTATGTGACCTTTAATTTAATTTAAAAACTGTAAAATGTGTAACACAACTTATTCACTTTCAGTTACAGTTACATATCTGGTATACAATAATTACACTCTTGCTTGACAACGGTATAAGAATCCATACCGAAACGTCGCATCATATATAATAAAGAAGTTGTTATCCATAAACTCTCTTACTTTCTTATTTGTCACCAACTTCTAAATGCCAATCAAACAAATTACAATAATTAAATATATTCATTATTGATATATGATGGATAGCAATGGGACAGATCAAACTGAAGTCGTTAAATGAAACCTATGAAGTGAAGTATTTTGGACGACTAACCTGATGAGAAACTGCCGTCCATTCTAGACGATTCCTTGTTTCCTTGAAACAAACGACTGGCAGTGCGGACAGAAAAACTGGGTCTTTTCTTGGAACTGAAAACATATCAACATATCTTAACTTATGAAAGTGTAATCCCATATATAACATATGTTAAACTTATGGTTACACTGGAATCCACGCACTGTTACATTTTGAGTGATTATATTTTTCACAAAGATAAAGAAATTTATTCTATGTATCTATTTAGTGTTTACTTGTTTTTGACTAAATGCTGATGAATAAAAAATATTGTTTTAAGATTTCCTTTAATGAAATTAGGAGCATGGTATGGTGTAACTATAAATGATTACCAAGCCAAGCCTCTTGTCAATCTCCAACAAGTCAGTGGATCCACAATACGTATCTGTAAATCAAATAATTGAAACAATGATTCTTTTAGAAATGTTATACGTGACTTGTGTCAATGCATTGTAAGGCTAAGAGGTTTAATAATTGATTACATAAATTATTACACAAAGCTATGAGTGTAAAGTATATGTTATAATTGTTTTAATGGTAATAAAATGATAAAAAAGATGTACTGGTATAATTGGATAAATACCGCCATATAGCTGGAATATTGCCGAGTGCGGCGTAATACTAAACTCGGTCACTTAGATATATTGAGCTGACATCACATATAATTAGATAAGTAAACTTATTATACAGGGAATGGTATACGTAGATCTAGGTGTAGAACTGAAAAGAATGAACATGATATAAGCATGTCTAATACACGTGCATGTTTTGAGCTCAATAGGTAAATTACTTACACGATGAAGTTTTACGTCCAGCAGAACGTATATTGCCTACTCCTGACAGGGTTTTGAAAAATCACCTATTTGCCACTAACACAATCTCTCATGAAGCTCGATGAGGACTTTTAAAGTAACGTGAATATGTTTTCAGATTTATTCACGTCTCTAGGCCTACATGTTGATGCTTGACACTGAGGAGGAGCAATTAGTGCCCATAATGCGATGAGAAGACCCTTAAGCCCATACAAGCCCACTGTTGGGTACTCACATTCAATCTGCTCATTTCCACCTTTCACGGTCCCCTTTGATGTCGGCAATGTAAACAAATAAAACAATGGCGACCGGATCACGTCCACGCGAGACTACCTAAATCATTATAAAAACACACAGCTGACATTTTATGTGTATAGTGTATGTTTATTTTGTTGTATAACGCGGGAAGATATTGTCAAACTGTAATGTTAGATTTAGATTAAAAAACAACAACAAAGTGTTTTTCCCGTGAGCCTTTGCGAGTCGCGATTTTCAAAGCCGCCTCAGTTACCCTCAAAGCACTGAAAGAGAGAATTCGCTACCTGGAAAAGAAAGATGGAAATGGCTGCGAAAAACTCGCAGTACCACGACCCTGTCAGGTAAGACCAATTTGTTTTGTTGTCAAATAACGTTTCATGAATTATTTACTTTACGTACAGAAAATCCGGATTGGTAAACAAGCTAATCTATCGAATAAAAGCCAGTGGCCATAGGTATTCGCCACTATGCATTATTCGACTTACATGTTAATTTGGTGCAGCTAGAAATATGTCTTGAATTTATTTGATATCCGTTTGATATTGTTCATATTTTGCACATGGGTTCGATATCATCTCAGCTTCAAAGACATAATTTCCGTTTTATTTTCAATTCAATGTGTGTCATGGTTATGGCAATTTTTAACAAGGCGGTCTATGGGGAAAAAATACGCAATGTTGTATATATGTTGCTCCTGTAACTACAATGCGGAAAATTATGTATCTGTGACCAAGATTATTTCCTAACAGCCTGCATAATTTGACAACCAAATATGGAAAACTGAATTAATGAAAATTACATAGCTACACTAAAATAGCATGCAAGTCTATGAGAATTTTGCCGACTGACGTATATTTAAGTCCCCTGACTGTATAAACAGTTTTGCACGAACTATTTTCAAAGGTTGGTGAAGTAAAATAAGTGTCTATCTAAAAATATACTACAATTTTGAAAAATATAGCAAATAGATTGTGTATTAATTGATTTGTTTTATTCAATTAGGCTGTTGTGAGGAAACGTGTCACGACCACTCCTGGAAGAAAAGATCACCCTCTCTAACTGAAGGTATGTTTTTATGGTACTATGAAACATAGACGTAATTTCACTTTGAATATTTTTTTATTATGCTTCCCTAGATACATTTTCACAAAATGAACCATACTCAAGTTACATTTGCAAATGGATTTGAATAACCGGTAACTTAATCATGATTTCAAATTGGACCAAATAAACTTCACACCTGTGTGAAATGGCATTAAAACTGACCCCTTGATTTTACAATGCCGTAATTACTAACACGGTTATGTCACAGGTGATAACTCAACTTCATTCATCAGGATGTTTATGTCAGGCCGTTCACTTACTGATTGCATAACCTTAAAGTGATAAATCTGTAGTTTGCTTGTTGGTATAAATGTCGCTGCAATTGTTTGGGGGTTTGTTAAACCTCAAATGAATGAATGGAGAAATGCAAAGAAAAGTAACGTGTTATTGTTTATTTTTTTTTCAGCTGATGATGAGTCTGCAGACTGTATAACGAATGACCAAGGATTGTCAGCTGAAACATGTGTGAAGGTAATTTTGACCTATCTGTAGTGACTTTCATTATAAGTAGTAAATAATTTCCAATTAATAGAGTAGAGACAAGGTTTATGGATGTCAACTCCTTTATTATGTGAAAACATGTTTCAGAGTGAATGCTTACCCCTTCGTCAGGTGTAAGCATTCACTCCGAAACATTGTGTTTTCACATAATAAAGACCTTGACATCCGGAAACATTCGTGCCTTGTATTATTCACTTCTAAATACACCTCAAAGACGTAATGGTGTAAACATACAGTCACTACTGGGTGAATATACTTGTGCCTTCAACAATACAACTGCCTGACTGAGTTTGGTTTTACGCCGCTTTTAGCAATATTCCAGCAACATCACGGCGGTGGACACCACAACGTTGATGAAAATCTATTACTAGTACCATTATTACTATACTATAATGCAATAAATCTTCAGATATATATATTACTACCTCTGGTCTGGGAAGCATGTAACTCCAGAGCAAAGTTTGTATAGATTCTGTGTCCTCTTTAGAAAATAAGATATTACATTCGGTCAATGAAGTGTGATGAATTGCATAATTTGAGTTTTGAGAAAACTAGTGCAAAGTGTGATTGTTCAATTTAGTTCTCTTTTATTCAAACTTACTTGTAGATTACTCATTATAAATCATCCTTGGCATTGTCAGTTTCTTGTTGATTGATGTTTGTGTAATTCATCAAAATAACCTAGTAATTCGTTATTACCTGCCATTTTCAGAAACTTGCACAACGCCTAAACAGACTTGCATCTATTGATTGGCCAGATAGACGATAGAAAAAGGTAGCGACAACACTCACCATAGACATGACATCACTAGTCGTGAGTGACGAAGATGACGTCAATTAGTTGCATTCCGTCCCCTTTGTCTGTGAGTCCAGCAAGCTTATGGCATACACGACGACACTGGACTTGGAAAGAATCTACACCTCCACTGCTCTCGTCAAGGCCAACAGGAGGACGAGGATGAGGCATCCAACCAAAGTAAACAGAGGGATCTCCGCCCAGGGATGCCCCTTACAGGGCCCACTGACCAGCTCTTGCAATTCTATACTTCAGAAACAAATGTATGTACAGTTATTCAGAATATACAAAAACGAGCGTTGTTAGTTGCAATGGATTCTCTAAATTATGAGTGATGCATTGTGATTATAGATTTCATAAAAAATGAATAAGCTATAGTGTAGCCCGAATAACTTCAATTACGGTACATTTTTCAGATATACTCGAAGACAAATGCTATTTCGGGACAAATGCTATATAGGGTAACATACTAATAGTGCTCTGATTACGATACTTCTATTCGGTATGACGCCACACTACAGTCGTTCTGTTGAAAAAGGGGTTAAGCGTCCATTTGCAAAATCTCGTCTCGGTACCGCTCAGCATTCACAATCATTGGCGTCTTTACTGCAGCTGTTATCCCACCCATAATCATAATACCGAAACGTCGCGATTTTGCAATAAGACTTTTCATTCTTAAGAATTGTATTGCCTTACGTCGGAAATTTTACACTTCTGGATAAAACACATCATACCTTTCAGTCTGTTTTACTGGGAGATACGTAGAAGGATGTAGCAAGAACTGCCGCAACCGTAACTGTAAGGCGCCATCTAACCAATGTCATCACGTGACTGGAAAGTGTCCCGACGGCTGTGTCACTGGTTTCACTGGAGATGACTGTTTACAGAGTATGTTTCTTCTTTACTGATGATGTGTTGACTTCATGCACTCATGACTGCCTTCTGAGTAATATGGCCAAGTTACTCTAAAACTGATTTTTAACTCATAGTCAAATAGACTTGTATGTGTGATTTAAGGAAGTTATATTATCATTTTGTCAAAAATGAGTAACAGCCCATGCAGGGACGTAATTTGTGGTAACTATTCTATACTTCAGAAACCACTGGATATACGGCTACTGATCATAGCACGTTGCACTGTGCGTTGAGAGCACCATACAAAAAGAAAAAAAAGACAACATTTAATCTAGAAAGAGATGTATAATTTAGCTTCTGATGTTTTGGAAAATAGATAAACAGTTATAATATATGATTCAAAACTAGTTCAATGTTCTTACTGCTCTTCAGACTGTCCTAGTGGCTATTATGGAACTAACTGTTCCCTGAGTGGTGCAGACAGACATTGTAACAGTTCCGCCTGACCTGCTGATGGGGCCTGTGGCGCTGCATGTGAGGCGAGGTGGACACTGCAGAGTTGCACACGAGGTAATATGAACATATACTCATGCCAATAATGGTTGTCACCCCCCTTCAATTTTTTTTATTGGAAAGGGTGTGTGGGGAGGGGGGTGACAACCATTATTGGCATGAGTATATTTCCTGCCTTAGTGGTTTACATGCAAGAACAACTTTTATAAACTAATATAACAAAATACATCAACACCAGAGAATAACAAGTCTCGATCATCCACAGAAACTGAATAGGTGACACAGCAAAAATAACTTGGTTTCCGCAATGCGGAAACCTGGTGGAAAGTGGACTGAAACTTAAGTTTCCACCTAGAATCCAGTGAGTTTCCGTTCTTTTACATTGAGTTTCCGCAATAACGGAAACTTACAATTACCCACTTTCTAAGGGTTTCCGCACGGTTTCCGTTACCCACACTCCGACAAGTTTCCGTTGAGTTTCAGTTGTTAACTTTGAATCCATCAGGTTTCCGCAAGGTTTCAGTTATTAATAAGACTCCAACAGGTTTCCGCATAGTTTCAGTTACCAACAATCCGACATAGTTTCCGCATAGTTTCAGTTACCGGTTTCAATTTCAGGTTCACAGGTTTTCATATGCGCTTCAAAGAGCCAAATGTAACCATTCTTCTTTATTCATATCATAAACTCTTGTTAAAAACAATAGAAGAAATTTGTTATTATCATGACATTTACTTAAAGAAAAAACAGAATATATAATAAGATTCATTGTTTTATTTTCTCAACATGAATATGAATTAGCATTTAAGGCAAATAAAGATCATACATATAACTAGTAATATAGCACTAAAAAAACAGAGCAAAACATTTTGGCATAACTCAATCCAGAAATCATATATCATTTATAGCAAAGTTGTAATTTTTCATCAGTTAAACTTTCATTCACTTATTATCTTGAAATAGCATGTTAGATATGAAATTTATTTCTAAAATCATGCTAATGATGAAAACTAACAATAACATACAACTTAACACAGTAATAAAACATAGCTGCATCGGACATTTATTTGCACGCCTTGGCATTCAGCCACACACTCTATGTCACAACTATCGCCAAACATCCACAATGATATACAATAACACAACATACAGCTTACAATACAAAAATAAAATAAAAATTACATTATGAAATTGAAAATAAATTCAATTATATTGCAAGAGTTGGTCAGTTAGCCCAATCAGGGGCATCCCTGGGCGGAGATCCCTCATCCTCGTCCTCACGTTGGCCATGACGAGAGCAGTGGAGGTGTAGATTCTTTCCAAGTTCAGTGTCGTCGTGTATGCCCTAAGCTTGCTCGACTCCCAGACAAAGGAGACGGAATGCAACTAATTGACGTCATCTTCGTCACTCACGACTGGTGATGTCATGTCTATGGTGAGTGTTGTCGCTACCTTTTCTTTCGTCTATCTGGCCAATCGATAGATGCAAGTCTGTTTAGGCGTTGTGAAAATGGCAGGATATAACGAATTACTAGGTTATTTTGATAAATTACACAAACATCAATCAACAAGAAACTGAAAATGCCAAGGATGATTTAAAATGAGTAATCCAAAAGGAAGTTTGAATAAAAGAGAATTGAACAATCACACTTTGCACTAGTTTTCTCAAAACTCAAATTATGCAATTCATCACACTTCATTGACCGAATGAAATATCTTATTTTCTAAAGAGGACACACAATCTATACAAAATTTGCTCTGGAGTTACATGCTTCCCAGACCAGAGGTAGTAATACGTTATATATATATCTGAACATTTATTGCATTTTCTATATAGTAATAATGGTACTAGTAATAGATTTTCATCAAATTGCTATATTCAATCTCTTACAGTTCGTATTGAGCCTATTTCTGGTGTCCCCCGCCGTGATGTTGCTGGAATATTGCTAAAAGCGGCGTAAAACCAAACTCAGTCAGTCAGTCGTATTATTGAAGGCACAAGTATATTCACCCAGTAGTGACTGTATGTTTACACCATCTAGTCTTTCAAGATTATGACATACGATGGATGTCAACGTCTTTATTATGTGAAAACACACAGTTGGAGTGAATGCTTACACCTGACGAAGGGGTAAGCATTCACCCTGAAACATATTTTCACATAATCAAGGAGTTGACATCCATAAACCTTGTCTCTACACCATTAATTTGAAATTATTTACTATTTATAATGAAAGTCGCTACAGATAGATCAAAATTACCTTCACATGTTCCTGCTGACCATCCTTGGTCATTCATTATACAGTCTCCAGACTCATCATCAGCTTTGCTGAAAAAAAATAAACAATAAAACGTTACTTTTCTTTGCATTTCCCCATTCATTCATTCGAGTTTTAAATTTGCAGCGACATTTATACCAACAATCAAACTACAGATTTATCACTTTAGATTATGCAATCAGTAAGTGAACGGCCTGATATAAACATCCTGATGAATGGAGTCGAGTTATCTCATGTGACATAACCTTGGAGTAATTACGGTATTGTAAAATCAAGGGGTCAGTTTGACTGCAATTTCACACAGGTGTGAAGTTAAGATTTATTTGGTCCAATTTGAAATCATGATTAAGTTACCGGTTATTCAAATCCATTTGCAAATGTAACTTTAGTATGGTTCATTTTGTGAAAATGTATCTAGGGAAGCATAATAATAAAATATTCAAAGTGAGATTATGTCTATATTTCGTAGTACCATAAACACATACCTTCAGTAAGAGAGGGTGATCTTTTCCTCCAGGAGTAGTCGTGGCACATGTTTCCTCACAACGGCCTAAATAAATAAAACAAATCCATTAATATATAATCTATTTGCTATATTTTTCAAAATTGTAGTATAGTTTTAGATAGACTTATTTTACTTCACCATCGTTTGAAAATAGTTCGAGCAAAACTGCTTATACAGTCATGGGACTTACGTCAGTCGGCAAAAATTCTCATAGACTTGCATGCTATTTTAGTGTAGCTGTGTTATTTTCATTAATTCAGTTTTCCATATTTGGTTGTCAAATTTTGCAGGTTGTTAGGAAATCATCTTGGTCACAGATACATAATTTTCCGCATTGTAGTTACATGAGCAACATATATATAACATTGCGTATTCTTTCCCGAAAGACCGCCATGTTAAAAATTGCCATAACCATGACACGCACTGAATTGAAAATAAAACGGAAATTATGTCTTTGTAGCTGAGATGATTCATGACCCATGTGCAAAATATGAACAATATCAAACGGATATAAAATAAATTCAAGACATATGTCTAGCTGCACCAAATTAACATGTAAGTCGAATAATGCATAGTGACGAATACCTATGGCCAGTGGCTGTAATTCCACCGATTAGCTTGTTTACCAATCCGGATTTCTGTACGTAAAGTAAATAATAATTCATTAAACGTTATTTGACAACAAAATAACTTGGTCTTACCTGATAAGGTCGTGGTACTGCGAGTGTTTCGCAGCCATTTCCATCTTGCTTTTCCAGGTAGCGAATTCTCTCTTCCAGTGCTTTGAGGGAAACTGAGGCGGCTATGAAAATGGCGTCTCGCAAAGATTCACGGGAAAAACACTTTGTTGTTGTTATTTAATCTTAATCTAACATTACAGTTTGACAATATCTTTCCGCGTTATACAACAAAATAAACATACACTATACACCTAAAATGTCAGCTGTGTGTTTTTATAATGATTTAGGTAGTCTCGCGTGGACGTGATCCGGTCGCCATTGTTTTATTTGTTTACATTGCCGACATCAAAGGGGACCGTGAAAGGTGGAAATGAGCAGATTGAATGTGAGTACCCAAAGTGACAACAGTGGGCTTGTATGGGCTTAAGGGTCTTTTCATCGCATTATGGGCACTAATTGCTCCTCCTCAGTGTCAAGCATCAACATGTAGTCCTAGAGATAATTAACAGTGAATAAATCTGAAAACATATTCACGTTACTTTAAAAGTCCTGATCGAGCTTCATGAGTCCTACTCATGAGAACTTGTGTTAGTGGCAAATAGGTGATTTTTCAAAACCCTGTCAGGAGTAGGCAATATACGAAAATATTTCTGCTGGACGTAAAACTTTATCATGTAAGTAATTTACCTATTGAGCTCAAAACATGCAAGTGTATTAGACATGCTTATATCGTGTAACGGTTCATTCTCACTTATCCACCACCCTTTAGTTTTGACAAGGGATTAGATGGGATTAGTTGACACGGGTTAGTGATTACACTGCTCACTCTGAAATTTGGTCCTGGTGGGTGACACTAATTAGCTGATTTGCCCTGTTACAGTGAACAGTGTTCGTGAACTTTAATTAAATTGTGTCGATTATGCTATTTGTGTTTTTAATTCAGTGAACACTTTTCACTATTACACGATTATAAAATGGTACATGAGGTTCTTTTAAGGTCAGTCACGATGGCTAACCAACAGGTTAATGTCCAGTTTATTCCTAATGGTAGAGGTGGTCAGTACTTAGTGTTCCAAAATTACAAGTTTGTAGTTAAAAGAAGACGAGGAACATCTGTCCATTGAACTGCGCCCAGAAGAACTGCCATGCCACGGTTAACACCAAAGATAATATTCTCACGTCCTACAGAGACCAGCATAACCATGCATCTGTGGAGAATAGAATCGCTGTAGATTCTTTTCTTGGCCAATCTTAAGGACCTTGTCCGAAAAGATTCCAAACCAATTCCATCTCTTTATCAGGAGGAGTTATCAGGTAAATATTAACATAAATACTTGGCAACTTTTAATTACTATTAAATACTAAAATACTACAACAGTTTTCTTTGAATTTAACATTGTGTTTCTCTGTTCTAGGTCTGAGAGTGATGAATCCTGACATCATTGCAGAAGTGCCCATCTTTGACAGTGTACGTCCTGCTCTATACCGCTCCCGAGCCAAAGACATCCCCATCTGCCAGCAACTAGATCAGCAATAGATCTTCCCGATGCATATACTAAGACGCATGCCAATGACAACTTCCTGCTGTTTTCTCA